CTTAACGTTAACGGATGACGTCATAATGTATTCATCTTGCGTTGCGGAGTACGTTAATACGGACGTCAGTTACGGGTTTCCTCATATGTATTACAATTTGTTTACAAACGGGGCGGAGTTATCGCGTTCCGAGTTGGGTACTAACGTTAAAGTCAAGGTTAACGTTGTGTGGCGAAAACTACCTAATGTGTTTTATAGTGATTTTCTTTCTTATAGATTTGATTATTCCCGATGTAATTCGCAGCTTCTTTCCTTACGGATATTTTTTTTTTGCATAAATTTTAGAGAACTTGTTTTAAAAAATATCATAATTTTCATTAGGATTATTACTATTATAAATATCGGGCCAAACAGTGCAATTAAGGTATTAGTGAGAGAAGTAATAGAATTGGTACCTATTATTTAGTGGGCTAGGCTGGGCTGGGCTGTAGGCTAGGCTAGGCTGGGCTGTAGGCTAGGCTAGGTCAGGCTAGGATAGGCCAGACCAGGCTAGGCTAAGCCAGGCTGGGCTAGGCTAGGCTAAGCTTGGCTTGGCTTGACTTAGGCTAGGCTAGGCCAGGTAGGCTGGCTGGCTGGCTGGTCTGGGCTGGGCTGGAATTGGTCTGGTCGGGCTCGTCTAAGCTACCCAGGTAACAATCCCACATGGGGCCCTTATGCAAAATATCTGGGAAAAGTCTTATGGGCTACCCCATATTTTTCCCTTATGGGATCCGTCTGGGCAATCACATATGGGCCTTGCCCATGGTTTACCCATATGGAGCCCATATGCCAAATATATAGGCTAATATAAATAAATACCTGGGCAGATAAATATGGAAATGCCCACATTTAATCTGCATGGGGCCCATGTGCCAAATATCTGGGAAAAATACATATGGGCATGCCCATATTTATCTACATGGGGCCCACATGCCGAAGACTTGGGTAGTTGAATATGGGTATGCCCATATTAATTTCGTATTGGGCCCATGTGCTAAATATCTAGGAAAATACTTATGGGCATGCCCACATATAATATACATGGGACCAATATGCCAAATACATGGGCAAGTAAATATGGGAAACCCATATTTAATCCAAATGGAGCCCATGTGCCAAATATGTGGGCAGTTACATATGGGCATGTCCATATTTAATAAGCATGTGCCCATATGCCAAATAAGTGGACATATAATTATGGGAATGCCCAGATTTAATCCACATGGGTTCCATGTGCCAAATATCTGGGAAAATACATATTGGCATGTCCATATTTATCTACATGGGTGGTGTAAACTCCATCCAAGGCTAAATACTAACACGAGTCCGATAGCGAACAAGTTCCGTGAGGGAGATTTGAAAAAGAACTTGGAAGAGAGAGTTCAAGAGTACGTGAAACCGCTAAGAAGCAATCGGGTGGGCCCGCAAAGTGGCATGGGAGATTCAGCGCGTTCGGGAGCACGTCCGTCGCCCTACAGGATACGAAAGGACCGAGGAGTGGTGGCTTGTGCCTTTGGCGCGTGCACTTTTTCCGTGCGCAGACCTGACGACCGGCTGGAAGTCCACCAGACGGCTGATTGGCAGCTTCCTCGCTCGGTCCTTCTGGGACCGCGAGAGCTTATAGCCGGTCTTCTGAACGGCTGGGCGTCCGGTCAAGGAATGGTATCCGCGCCTGCTCCGCTTTGCGCGGGGCTGGGCTCTCTGTCTCGCGGGAGTTGCGTAGGTGCGGGACTGTCCTCAGTGTCATGCTGGTGCAGCGCTAGGCTGCGCAGAACGGGTCGGTCAGCAAGGCGGGTCGGTGAGCGAGGCGGGTCGGTCAGCGAGGTCGGTCGCCCACTCGACCCGTCTTGAAACACGGACCAAGGAGTCTAACACGCCCGTAGGGAATGCGTGAAGCCCGAGGGCGCAATGAAAGCGAAGGCCGTTCCGTCGGGCCGAAGTGGGATCCCTCTTCCCTCAGGATACCCGGTGCTCGGACGCGTTTTATCTGGTAAAGTAAATAATTAGAGGCCTTGGGTCCGAAACCTCAACCTATTCTCAAACTTTAAATTGGTAAGAAGTCCGACTCGCTCAATTGGAGCCGAGCAACGAATGCGAGTGCCCAGCGGGCCACTTTTGTTAAGCAGAACTGGCGCTGCGGGAAGAACCGAACGCCGGGTTACGGTGCCCGATTGGGACGCTCATCAGATCTCAGAAAAGGTGTTGGTTGATACAGACAGCAGGACGGTGGCCATGGAAGTCGGAATCCGCTAAGGAGTGTTTAACAACTCACCTGCCGAATCAACTAGCCCTGAAAATGGATGGCGCTGAGCGTGCCGCCTATACCCGGCCGTCGGGGCAGAGGAGGTCACCTCGCTCGGGAGGTAAGCCCCGACGAGTAGGAGGGTCGCTGCGGTGAGCGTTGAAGCGTAGGGCGCGAGCCCGTGTGGTACCGCCGTGGGTGCAGATCTTGGTGGTAGTAGCAAATATTCAAGTGAGAGCCTTCAGGGCAGAGTGTGGAGAAGGGTTCCATGTGAACAGCCGTTGCACATGGGTCAGTCGATCTTAAGCTATAGGGTAGTTCCGTTCCGAGCTGTGGCGTAGGCCTCTCGTGGGTCGCGCCCCTTATTCGAAAGGGAATCGGGTCAATATTCCCGAACCCGAAGGCGGAAGTCGCGGCCTCGCGCAGCCTGTGCTGCAAGGCAAGCAAACTCGGAGACGCTAGCGGGAACCCCCGGGAAGAGTTGTGTTTCCTTTGTAATGGTCGGGCACCCTGGAATCGGTGCGCCCGGAGATAGTGGCTGCGGGCCCGTAAAGCACCACGACTCTTGCGGTGTCTGGTGCGCTTCCGTCGGTCCTTGAAAATCCGAGGGACACCGACTGATTTTCGCCTCGGCTCGTACCCATAACCGCAGCCGGTCTCCAATGTGAATAGCCTCTGGCCGATAGAACAATGTAGGTAAGGGAAGTCGGCAAATTAGATCCGTAACTTCGGGAAAAGGATTGACACTAAGGGCTGGTTCGGTCGCGCCGGGGAGTGAAGCGGGACCGGGTGCGTGCCGTGACTGGGTGAGACCTGCTCTGCAGGGCGAGCCCGGACTAGTGCCGGGCCCATTCCGTGGACCTTCCTGGCTTGGCGGTCTCTCGGGATCGCTTCGACCGGCGCCAAACAGCCAACTTAGAACTGGTACGGACACGGGGAATCCGACTGTCTAATTAAAACAATGCATTGCGACGTCCGAAACCATGGCATTGACGCAATGTGATTTCTGCCCTGTGCTCTGGATGTTAAAGTTAAGAAATTCAACGAAGCGCGGGTAAACGGCGGGAGTAACTATGACTGTCTCACGTATGAGATCGAATTATTTCTCTATAAATCTGTATTTGTACTGAAATATTTGCTCTCTGGTCCACCCTGGGCTACTGTATGTATGCTATCATACATACAGGTTAACTAGCATTCACTGTCTTTTGATACGGATATGGTAGTTCAATTTTTAATTAATTCCACACTGCGTTTACTGTCGTTGTTTTGCCGTATCGAAAGTGAGTTTCGCTCGGCATTTTCGTTGCGTCCTATTGAACTCTGGTTTGCATAATATTTTGTTATTTTACTTTGTGATATTGTATTTTCTTTGTGTTAAATATATCTTGTAATAAATATGTCTAAGTATTATGTCTGAAGTGTGCGGAGATCATGACTTCTCGATTGATAACTCATGTACGAAATGTCTCGTAAATTTGAATCTATCTGATGGATTTCTTGCCATTTTCCTAAGTGCAACAGCATTACTGCACCTCTCACGAAAGAATTTAAATGCAATTCCTGCATTAAGTCTTTTTCCACTTTTTTTGGAATAAGACTCCATATGAAAATGTCACATATCTCAAAGATACCTGGTCTCCTGAAGATATTATGATTATGGCAAAAACCGAGGCTTCTCTACCTCCAAATATAAAATTCATTAACAAGGCCCTAAAAGAGACCATGCCTAACCGAAGCTTAGAGGCTATACAATATCAAAGAAGGAAACAATTATATAATATAAAGAATCCGTTACTGTTTTCAAAGCTAAAGATATACTCCCTACTGATACTTCAATATATAACGATATTAGTATTACAAACGATTTGGATGATGTTGGGACGAGCCAATACCTAGACGATTACACCCATTCAATCAAAACGGGTAGTATTTCACAGTTACAACTACACATACTAGAGATCATCGCATGCGTAAAGGACAACAATACTCCAAATTATTCAAATATTCTGAAAACCATCGGAGGAAAGAAAATAGAAAACTCGACTAGCAAATCGTTAAATAACCCTATTATAGATAAGTCTGTCCAAAAGGAAACGGAAGAAAATTGTATATTCTATTCAACAGGAACTTTACTGTAAAAATAAAAGGAACTTTGCCCGTAACTTATTAAATGGAACTACTATCAGTAACGAAGGGCCAGACCCGGCAATTTCTTTCACACATTTTACCAAAGTGTTCAGTAAAGAACCACTAGAAGGTAACATGCCGATACCTAAGAAAATGTACGATAATGAGAAGGATACGAAAAACCTATCTCGACCAATTACCATACAAGAAGTTACTACGGCTTTGAAATCTATGAAAAAGGACGGGTCGGCATGTCCTGATGGAATTTTCTACAAGGATCTCTCCGGTATCTCTCCTTATGACTGGGCTACACTTTTTACTATTTGGTTTATGAAGGGTACAATCCCGGATGCTCTCCGAACTAAATACACTAATTTGCTGCCAAAAGGAGAACCAGTCAAGGATGATCCTTCAAAATGGGGCCCTATCACTATAGGGTTTTATCTACTCAGGCTTTATACCAAGATCCTAAACTTCCGACTGAAGAACGCTATCAATATCAATAGCAAACAGAAAGCATTCATCCCTACTGATGGATGCCTAGAAAACACCACGCTGTTGGATTTATTAATTACGAACTATAGGAATAACAATCGCTCACACTATATAATGTTCCTCGACCTTGCTAAAGCATTCCATTCGATTCATCATGATACGATCGACCGAGCTTGAAAGAGACACAACGTGCCAAACCACTTCAAACCACTTTTCTTAAGCCCCATCAAAAAATCGACATCATCCGACAATTCGTTCTGCCAAGATTATAGCATAACTTTTGTAACCACACCTACGAGTCTAGCTCTTTGAATAAACTGTCATGTTGCATAAACAAATGTGTTCGGAAAATTCTACACCTCCTGGACACTTGCAGTAAAAACTTTCTCACATTGCCTACTGCTCTTGAAGGTATCGGACTTCCTGATATAAACTTGACCGCAAATAAATTACGACATGGAGCATTTATGAGACTTGCAAAATCAAGTGACCCTATCATCAAGGCTATGTATGCCTCCGATCATATCAAGAAGCAACTACGTAAAGTTGCAAAGGCAATCAATCTACAAACCATTGAAGCAGACAAACTGCTGTTCAAACACATACTGAAGTTCTCACGGCCAAAGTTGTGAAGCATTCGATCACCCAGCATCTACTGCCTAAATCAATAAGCCGAAGCTATTACACTAAAGCCATAGCATTGAAAGGAAAAACGCTACCATGTAGAGGTACTCAAGCATTCATGGGTGGAAATACCGCATGCCGACACTGTAATGCACCTATCGAATCCATTTCTCATATCCTGCAAAGATGCCCTCACATGCTAAGGGCCAGAATCGAACGCCATAATAAAGTATGCAAACAGCTCATTAGATTTCTGGAGAAAAAATACGACTCCATAATTACCGATCCATTGATACATACATCTACCGGTAACTACCGACCTGATATCGTGGCAATCGATAGGAAGAACAGTCATGTATTTTTGTCCAGGAAATATTTCTAAGCCCTGTGGGAAACAGCTTATAACAGGAAAGGATGATATGATAGGTTGTGATGGATGCAATCGTTGGTTTCACCCACGATGTCAGCAGCTTTCGGAAGCAGGTTTTAAATTTATGACGGAAAAAGGTTCTCCTCCATTCACCTGTCTTGAATGCAGGTGAGGAAAGCTCCCTATTTAAAATGTTTAAGGATGCTGAATTTTATAAAGATTTCCAAGCTAAGTTTTCTGCTATGCAATCTGATCTTGTGACTACTATTAAGAGAGTATAATTGCTCGAAGATAAGACTAAGTTTAACGAGTCCCCCGAGTTTGATCAAGCTCTTGATGATAAATTGCGGGAGTTTCGATTTGATTTACAGGAACGGGATTTTCGTAAGCCCAATGTAATTATATAATGGCTGAAAGAATCTCCCACCCTTGGGGTGACGAAGCATTAGTCAAGCAGATTGCAGTAGCTAGTGGCCTAGGAGAGGTATCTATTAAAACTACATTTAGATTACATGATAACCATGTTGGTAATCGTCCTAAATTATTGAAAGTTGTTTTTAGTGATGCTGAAGCTAAGATAAAACTTCTCTCAAGAGCTGCTAAGAGCACACTGGTTGCCTCTAATCAGTTTCCCAATATACTAATATTCCCAGATAGAACAAAGAAGGAACGTATCGAACGAACCCAATTACAAGAAAAGCGGGATGCAAAAAACGAAGTACTTCATCAAATGGGGAGTCTAAATCGCAAATAGGTGATAAGACGAGAGGTTTGTAGAAATAATTGTACAAGGTCAAAGGTCTCCAAGGGTGAGAACTCTAACTCCTTCAGCAGATTCTCCAAGAGTAGTAAATTCTCCGGCTCTATAATTCCATCTATTTTGAAATGTTTCTATACAAATATTGATGGTATCAGAAACAAAGTTGATTTATTTCAATTTTGCGTTTCAAAAGAAGATCCTCATATAATTTTTGTTAGGGAGCGTCGCCAAATTATCCTACCGCGGTAAAGGAGATTTTCCTGCGGTAGCAAGGCCAACTGCGGTAATCAGCTATAGCAAGATTTACTCAATGGAGCGTGTCTTGACTACCGCGAGCTACCGCGAGCATGGAGTATTAATTATCCAATGCCCAAGGCAAGGTTTTTTCCAATTACTCTATGCAGCTCAGTCAGCTGAGAAAGTAACCGCGAAATACCGCGGTAGCTCGGAAATACTAGCCTAGGCCAGAAATGAAATAAATTTGAAAGAACTTTGATTAAAAGAAGCTAAAGAATAAATAATCAAAAATTAAGGAGATGCAATAGTGAAGGGAAAATACTTACATATAACGCCAACGGCCTCCTACACAGTAATACAAACAGTAGGCCTAGACCTACCTAGTGTGTAGGCCTGCTACAGCCTAAGCTAGTGCAACAAACTTTTAATGTGACGATGTGCAAACCTGGCCTACTACATATTATTATTATTATTCAGGAATAATACTGCCTAGGCCTAATACACAAACTTGAATAATTATACTGTTACTTTTTCATGAACGGAAGAAAACTGTTTGAAATAGGCAAAATTGCCAAGTAAAGGCATACTCAGTATACCACCAGTTGGCATTACTGCAAATTGCCAAGTAACAGTGAATTCAGTGAGAAATGTTCCCACACAAGTAGGTTCCCACGATCGGGAGAAACATGGGGGTGGGGGGAAGCAGACACAAGGTCAGTCACATCTTTAAACGCCGCCAACAACTCAGGAATGTAGACGTGCTAGTGTCTGATCTGATTCTTTGAACGCCGCCTTCAGGAATGTATACGCGC